ATATTTTAGAAGCATTATTTGGAAAGGACTCTAGCAGTATTTGGAGATTTACACAAAGCAGCTTCATCAGGAGGCTTGAGAGCAACTCTGATGTGATGTAACACAGCTGTAATGCATCAAGGCCAGCCTGACAGCAGCTGGGATTCACAAATCTGCTCGTGGTCGCTGCTGGAATAAACAGGTGGGTCACGGTAACCCAGGGGCACCTGGATTTTTGGGAGGTTTTAACGGGGCTCCCATGAATGCCCCTTAGGGAAGCTGGGAGGTGTGGGGACAAATGGTCAGGTCCTGTTGCAGAAAAACAAGTGGTTAAGGGACAGGGATGTGGGATGGCATGTCCAGTTCTCACAAGCATTTGGATGACACCAGTGGGACTCCAACAGCATCCACACTGTGCAATGTTCTTAAAAATCAGGCTGCCAGAGCTCCAGGAGCGTTTGGACAACGCTCTGAGGGACAGGAGGGGATTATTGGGGTGTCCTGGGCAGGGCCAGGGGTTGCACTTGGATGATCCTTGTGGGTCCCTCCCAGCTCAGGATATTTTATGATTTTACGATTCTTTTTTCATACACATGTTCAAAGCTCGATGTGCTCTCGATATGATTAAGTTAATATTTAGTCATCTCTCTCCTGTAAGTATTGAAATGCAAATAACCTGCTCAGTCTGAAACGAGCAGAATTCACTTGGTTTATATGATCAAGACAATCTTCACAGTGAACAGATCGAGGAACACACCCTAAAAAGAGAAGCCATGCAATTCCTGATGCAGTAAAGCCTAGTCACGAATGGGTTATTTAGCTCAACTCTTAAATTATGGCAGTGCTTTCCCCCCCCCCCCCCGGTTTTTTTTTTAATCCCTAAACTCTCCCTGACAGATGGTCTCCTGCCTTTTAGTATCTCTAGTGATGGTGAGGCTAAAACCTTCCTTGGCAGCTTGTTCCGTGGCTGAACTTTTCTTAAAGCTGTAAAGGTTTGTTTGTACTTAAAACCTGAGTCCTCCCTCCTGCCATTTAGATTAATTTGTTCCAGTCCAGCTATACCCAGTTTCCCTAATCTTATCGTGTAGGTCTCCTTTTCAACCCTTCTCATTATTTTTTGTTATTCTCCTTTGAACTCTGCCAATTTATCTGTGTGCCTGAGATGAAATGCAGCCATCCAAATGAAATGGAACCAGTGCCAAGCACAGCAGAATAATTATCTCCACTGTTTTACGAGTGATGATCCCCTCGCCACAAATTTACACGGCTTTTGGCATTTTTTTTGTGAAGGCGTTATTTTGCTGGCTCATAGTCAGGACATCGTTTCCCGTGAATATGGAGCCTCTCTGAGGTCTCTCTGGTTCGTCAGGACTTCCCCCTTTTCTTTTTCTGCCACTTCAGTGGATGTAAAACACCTTTCTTCATTTTATAAACCCCCTCTCTGCAGCGCTGGGAAGATACAGAAATCCAGGAAAATGTCTTTTTCTGTAGCACTTTGTCCTTCAAATCAGTCAAGAATTGTAATAGGTTCCTTTTTTTTTTTTTTTTTTTTT